CAATGATCACCTCCACACAGTAAAGACACTCATTGAAAAATCTAAGTATAGAATATAACAAACCTCTTGTTCTCACTTTCATAGATTTTCATAAAGCGTTCGACACGATCGAATTAGACAGCCTTATAGAAGCAATGAATGACAGCAGGATTGACCATAGGTATAGCGAGCTTATTTATATTTACAAAAATGCCACTATGACTGGTTAAATAGACAATAAAATCCGACCAATAAAAATAAATCGTGGAATAAGGCAAGGAGATACATTGTCGCCGAAATTATTCATAACGGCATTAGAATATGCCTTTAAGATGATCAATTGGGACCACAGAGGAGTAACGATAGACGGCGAAAAGCTTAACCATCTCCGTTTCGCAGATGACATTGTCCTTATCACAGATAATTTAGGAGAAGCTACAGATATGTTAAACGAATTGGATTTTGCATGTTCGAAGGTGGGCCTGAGAATGAACTTGACCAAAACTAAGTTTATGACAAATTTGGTCCCCAATAACCATTTGACTATTCAAGACAAAGTGGTAGAACTGGTGGAGAAATATACGTATTTGGGCCATGAAGACCGACCTATGACTGGTGCGTGAAACAAAGCCATCAGGACAAGGTGTAAGGACAAACACACCTGCATCTTCGCTCAGGATAGTTGGAAAGACAAAATGGGATAGATTAAGCAACGAGACTATTAGGAGAATGGCCAACAAGGAACCGACAATGAACAAAATAGCAAAGAGACAAATGAACTATTATGGGCATCTGATGAGGATGTAATCCAATAGAATAACAAGAAAAGTTTAGGAAGCAAAAAACATTGGAAACAGAAAAAGAGGCAGACCAAGAAAAAAAATGGATACAGCAAGTAGTAGAGGCGGGAAAACTTAAACAAAAATCACTCGAGGAATTGAAAATAATGGCAGGAAACAGAAAAGAATGGAAGAGGTGAGTAAATGGAAATTAAAATAGCTAGCCCAAATCCGACACCCTGATAGGGTAAAAGGAAAGGGAGAAAGAAGGAAAGAAAGATTAATGTCAAACGTCAATAAATTTATTTTAACCTTCAATTGTGGCTTATTCCCATTAAAATAGTAATTGAAAATTTTTTAGACTCAACATGGAGGTAGCATAAAAAAAGTTCAAAATCCCCATCCCTCAGACAAGTTCTGGGTGCGCCACTGGTCGTCGTACTTATATTTTTCTAACCTGAAATAGTATTCCCTTCAACCCCCCCTCCCCCATGAAAGTTTGTATTGGTAGTTTACTAACCCACCCGCTTAACCTTTTTTCTATAGACCATGGACAGTACTGGAAGAATTACCCTGTTAATCAATGTATTGCTGCCCATATCCGGCCACCAGGAGCTTCATACTTTACATAGGATACATCAAGGACTTGATTAGTGGTGGGCCAACCTGCGATTTTTGTGTAGCTGTGACAAAATGTGACTGCTCCAGTATTGTCACGGTGACAAAAAGCAGTGATTTTTTGGAGCAGTTTAATCTTAACTGCTACCCTGCTACTATTGCTACCTTTGAATGTTCCAAAATATATTTTATTTTATCTTATTTTTTAAGCAAAAGACTTGCTTGTTGTTTTCTGTATTTTTGTTTATTATATAGGTTTGTATTATATATATATATATATATATATATATATATAGATATATATATATATATATATATATATATATATATATGTAGTCAGTAGGTTATTTATCATTATTAGTTTCTGTATTTTTATGTTAAAACAAAACAAAACTTTATTTATAATTATATGTTATACTTTACTTTATTATAAATCTTAACTATAAAATATTATTATAGACTTTATTATAAAACTTTACTATAGTACTTTATTAAAAAAAATTATTTTAGGCAATATTTTTTGTACTGCTTTGTTTTTTGTACCAGTTTTATTTTTATCTTTGGTTATTATGATTTTCCCTTTAAATGTTTAAGAAATAAGTAGATATATTGATTTTATTTTATTCAATTCTTATGTTTTTTACCTTATGACAATTTAAAATAACTTAGAAAATAACTTGTTAAGGATTTTTAACGGTGCTATTTTCCCACGCTCGACCACGTCGTTCCTTATGTTACAAATAGCAAATAATAGTCAGTCACCATATGAGAGCGACTGCTCCATTTTGAAAATGCTCCGTCAACAAGGCTTGTCACTGTCGCAAATATGATCTATGGACCAGCACAACGTCTTGTGTAGCGTACTCCGGACCGAAGTGGTGCAGTCACAGTAGAATAAAACGTGACTGAATGTCACTGCTACATTATTCCAGCTGTAGCGGACTGTGACTGTGACAGCGTTGTAGCAGTGACAAAGTAGCAGTTCGTGAAATCGCAACCCACCACTAGACTTGATATAGGAAATGATAGCAAGGTCGATTTGTAATAACTAAAAAACTGTATTTTTCTGTTTTTTATTTGTTTACAAACTTGTGAGCCTTACGTTTATATATATATATATATATATTATATATATATATATATATGTATATATATATATATATATATATATATATATATATATATATATATATATATATATATATATATATACAATCAAGGTTCAAGAACTAAACTCAAACACTATATATATATATATATATATATATATATATATATATATATATATATATATATATATATATCAAGGTTCAAGACTGATTTCTACACATAGAATGTAGTTTGTGCACTACTACAAGATTTATAAAATATATACCAACATAATACCCTAAACACTATATATTGTGACAAATTTAAGTATATAACAAATTTAGGTGTTATATATTTTTATACCGTTATTTATTATTATTTTTTAATAAGTATGAAACATATATGAGACAATCACAAAATGTAATTATAGTTTTTTATATAACAGGCATAACGGGAATCATCAAAATATGTAAAAATTGCTGAAAACTAAATAATATAGTATGAACTAATAGTTATTAAACAAACAAGATGGGTCAAGCAGCAAAACAATGCAGCAGGACACTCCAAAAAAAACTTCAATACATTCTACAGTTAATTTCTTGTGCAATTAAGTGAATCGAAATTGAGTAATTTTTAGTGAATAATCAAAATATGACGTGCGTGTTGGTGATTACCTCGAACGAGTTTATCGCATTAGCCCATATAGTTTTTCACAAAGACTGTTTTAAACGGACCGTAAAACTTCCAAAAGCAGTGATGATTGGTCGTTGTATTGAAGTTTCGGGGTTAGGATTTTTTTAATCTACTGAGTGTACAGCAAATGCTGCGAAATATCAACAAATACGTCAAAACAGGACGGACCGGCTTGTCATACGGTCGGAACCACAAGAGACTGGTTTGGAAACCACAATATAAACGTTCTTTCTTGGCCTTTCAACAGTCCTGACCCAAATGTCATTAAAACAGTATGGTATAAAATAAAACATATACTAATGAACAATCCACAACGGACATAAGACGAACTGCTTAAAGCCAAAATCGAACAGCATTGGAATGAATTTATTCTGAACAATATAGATCCTTATTCGAGTCAATGACCAACCAAATTCGAGCCTCACGCTCGATTTTACTTTGTCCCACTATATTAGTTGTTAGGACTCGTGTACGTATATATATATATATATATATATATATATATATATATATATATATATATATATATATATATGTGTGTGTGTGTGTGTGTGTGTGTGTGTGTGTGGTGTAAACAAAATAAAAGCAATATGAAATTAGTATAGCATTAGGATAGCAATAAAAAGATCGGTACCTATGCAACTTTTACAAACCGTTTCAGATGATAGTAATAATATTAATGTTTATTCTCTATACACACGACAAACCAACGTCGTTTATCGGTTCATGACAGGAATGATACGACGAACACCACTATGACATCAAAGTTTTTAAATTGGTAGTTGCACCATAATAACAATTTCAACACAAGACTTGACTAAGCAGATTCAACAGGTTAGAGCAAGGGAGTAGTCAATAGTAGACAGCGGTACCATTTTGTGACCAGTTTCTTAAACCTGTAAACAAAATGCTCATACGGCGGCAGATGCCGGATTAAGGAATCGTGGACAACTCGCCGAAGAAACATATATTATGGAGAGAACATTACACTTCTTAGTATTAGAACAAATTGTAAGAAGATCAAATTTGAGCACAAACACGACTATTTTCAATTGCAGGGAACAGAGTATAGTGTACGCGGATGATGTGGTGATACTAGCGAAAACAAAAAAACATGTAGAAAAAGTTCTCCAGAAATTTTAAGAAAAGGCGAAAAGAAACGGATTAACAATGAACCAAACAAAAACGCAATATATGGCAATGAGAGAGGACATAAAAAATAGCAAATATATCAAAATGAAAGGCGCAGAGGCTGTCTATAGTTTTGAAACAGTGTCAAAATTTACATAATTAAAAATAATCAAAACCAACACGGGAAAAGAGAAGGAAAATAGATAGACAACAAAAGATTAATGAAGGAAAGCAGAGCGTAGTGTCACAAAATTCAATACTGTATTGAATACACAGTATGTGCGTGCGTGTGTATGTCTGTGCATGTGTGTGTCTGTGTGTATGTACGAAAATATTCAAACTCGGACAACAATGTAACTAGTAACTGTAAGTTGTCAACATTAAACGCAATTCTGGAATATAAAATGTATGTCAGCATAAAAATTTTTAAAGACGAAAAGTATTTATACAAACTGAATCTAATATGTAGTTTTAAAATAAAAATATTTCAAATTATAATCATAACATGTATTTTAATGAGATATTTATTTTAATTAAACCAAAATAATATGATAAAGTGTATAGAACTATGTATTAACAAATCAGATATGTCACATGTATATTTATGTTGTTTTTCGTTTAAATTATATCGCCAACTTAGCTATTTCGCGGTATTATAGATAATAATATCCATACAATTAAAAAATAACATTTTGAATAAGCTATTCACATTTAAAGAGTAGGGGAGAATTCAGTTGGTATCATAACCCTACAATGCATTTCTCTTATCAACGGTACTGTATAAGCGACACATTCATCCCAACCTGGGGACCTCCAGGCACTTTCCCTAGTTTCTTTTCTTCCATTCAAACTAGTATAACCTAAAATCACAGATATTATCATCTTAAAAACTAATTGCACACTCAATAACTTACACCAAATATGGTGAACATTATATAGTCTACCAATTTGCGAAAAGAACCCAGCAAAAGCTTCATCATTATTTTGCCTGTAGTTAATTGCCCTAGCCCAGTTATTACCCCATTCAATCATAGTTCCAGGTTTTAGAGCGTAGCTGCGAATTTCATAAATATTTTTGGGTTGTCGCAATAGAATTTGAGGCCAATAACTAAATGCTAGAAGATATTGCAAGTGGCGGGATCTAACCAGTTTTCCTTGTTCTTCATTTAGACGTTGGAATTCCTATAAAAATAATAGCAAAAATTACAATATTGTAAAACCTTTTCCTAAATAAATAATTGCTAAAATTATCAATTTATTTCTTAGCTAGACAAAATATTATGAGTTTTGTATTAGCAATTTAAAGTTTTACTTCTTCAAGCTTCATCCTGATACGAAGCACATAAAATAATAATGGTCTAAATCTACTATTCTGAAAATGTTCACCATTATCATAAAAGGTATCATTGATATATGAGCATAAAGCTGGTCTAACGCTTGTTTCAAATTTCGGTCAATAAATGACGCCTTCTTAACCTAATATGGTGATTTCAATTCAATACAGTTTAAAATTACACGTTAAAAATGGTACAATTAATACAGGTACAATGAAAGAAATATAAATGGTAGAATAATACTGGAATACCACATAACAATTTTTGTGTTTAATGTAGAACAAATGTTTTATAGTGGATACATTTAGTGATTTCAGTGAGTCAGGGAATATAAATATCATCTAGTGAAAGAGACGATTATTTTGGAAAGTCTAATTTCCATAATTGTTTTAAATATAATTATAACAACATAATGGAAAATCTCCTGGCGTGGTGACATAGTAATTTATCTATAAAAGAAGTGTGCAAAATTTGGGAAGGATCAATCAAGCAGTTTTTGAGATACAGTGAACACCGACTTATTCCGAGAAGAACGCGTTTAAAAAAAAGCTTATTTTTTATACTCATACAGTATCATCTATTCCAGGCCCATATAGCGACGTGCTTCCTGCTAAAATATCTAGAGCATCTTTTTGCTCCTGCTTTTGACGAACTCTGTCTTTTTTGGTGCATCTGCAGCCATTTTATCGGCTCTAGTAATTCGATTGTTATCTGCCGCGAGTGCGAAATTAAGAGAACTTAACACTGTACCTATTCTAATTTCTAAGTGAGTTCTCATTCGAGCCACTCACTCACTTAACTCACTCACCTCACTCACTCCCCCTAAGTTGCCGTATAAATTAGAGACAAGAAAACATATCTACAAGTTTGTCGGGCAGGTAGCCAACGCTGAAATCTATCGACTATTCCAAAATGAAAACATTTCAGGTAGAACCATTTAGAACAATGGAGAAAAGCGAGCAGATAATACCATGTCTGTATCTCCCAAAAAGTGGATGATCACGTGCATTTATTGCACAGAGGTCAGAGAGATTGGTGAGAAGATCAAAAAACCAAGTTGGAATGTCAACGAGAAGACTGGCTCGTTAACATATCTGAGAGTACGATATCGTTGAAATTGAGGAGAAATGGTCTTAAATATCGAAAGTGATGTAAGTGTCCCAAATACTCTTGAGCACAACTCCTTCTTATACCAAGATGCTGTCGTCAACTGAGGCGGGTACACTTTGCGAATGAAAAAATTATTATTTTGAGCTGTTGTCATATAAATAATCAAACAATAATAAGCATTTTTTATTAAATTATTTATTTTATATATAGATATATTTTTTGATTTCATTGCAGTAATTTTTCTAATATTCTTCAATTCTCTTAGTGACTCGATCTCCTTATTATGTCTATTAAATGTGCTTTTGGGAAAAAAATAATAAGTGAAGTTTACTATTTTCTGAGACACCTACCTGGCTTTTTCCAGTAACATCATTATAATGATCAATCATATCATAACCTCCTGTAAACTTCCACAGATGTAGAGCTTGATCTTGATCACCTACATTTACTGTCCATGAACCTACTAGTTCAACTTCTTTTGATAAAGAATCTTGTGTTTTTAGGTAGTCCACTGTATTTTTTCTAAAAGTAAAAGAATGTTTATATGTCTTTTAAAAACCAGACTAATAAGCACCATTACATTCAAAAATGTTAAAAATATATAAAAAGAAACAAAGTATTTGGTACTCTTTGAATATACAAATAGATAATTGAAAAACTATTTTATTTTTCTTTAATAAAATATGCATTAGTTGATTCACTGAGATAGGAATATTTTGGCAGTCATCATTAGAAGCTTGCACAAAATTATTTCATTGTTTTGAATGAAACTTTCCACATTTGTGTAAATACTAATCTTAAAATTTGACCACATATAGCTCAAAATGAATTATTAAACTTACTATAGAAAATGTCACACTAAGAGTGCAGTACAGGTAATTAGGAATGCACAATTGCCGGATTTCACGCCTTGTGCTTGGCGAACAAACAGCTCCAAGTGGTAGTCACAGAACCGTACCCAGATCTCTACACCAGGCTCTGTTATTTATTATAAAATAATATATTGATAAAATAATTGCCTTCAAGTAGCCAAATAAGAGGCATGAATTTGAATAAAAAGACCTTAAGTTTTTAGCGAGAATTTTATTATAAAACTGTATACTTTATTAAACTAACAGTAACAAATGTATTTTAAATTACATTTCTTGATAGCTATAAATATACCGGGTGGAACCTCCGGTAACTCGATTTCCGTGCACCCATCCCAATATCCAAGAAAAACTTTTTCTTTTGTAAATATGTGAAAAATTATCAGGAACAGGAATATCGAAAAAGCTTTGCACATTTTTTAATCCTGGCGATGTTATTAAAAAAACAAGTTGCGCACTTGAATCACTGCGAAATTTTAACACCTACTATAAAATTTTTTTTGTGGAAATCTGAAGTGCAGTTTTTGTCCTTGTTAAAACATAATGCAGTCTCGCATTTTTTACACACAACATAAGTTTATTTAGTTCCTTGGCATAGCAACCTGGTAGTTTTCAGCAAAACCTTGTGTTATTCCATATGGGATAATGGTTTTCCTTGCCCACACTTGACCAGATGAGCAGGTATAAGGTTTATAGTGTAAGTTATTTAATATTATATTATATTTATACTTCATTAAACTAACAAATATATTTTAAATTACATTTCTTGATAGCTATAAATATACAGGGTGGAACCTCTGGGAACTTGATTTCCGTGCACCCAGCCCAATATTCGAAAAGCCCATACTCTGATTGGACTCGTAAATGCATTTTATTGGTTATACAGTGTAAAATAATCGAGGTTACTCACAGATATTCAATTAATTTTACTAAAGTCGTCCTCTACATCCGAGATGTCAGATTCGCTTTCGCTACTCTCCCCTGTGTTCGCGTGTATTATCAATTGGTCTACGTCATCTTGCAGGTTGTCGGCAGTGCACATCTCAGTTTCCATTTTCTCAACATGAGTGACATAATTGCGCCAATTTTGCTCTGTGACGCGTGCCAAACCGTCGTCGATTAACTGGCGTACCTCGCCGTTTTTAAAAGTGGTATTATGGGTACCTACATATCGCTTAACTTGGTTCCACACCATTTCTATAGGATTCAATTCGCAGTGATATGGAGAAAGCCTTAAAATATAAATATTATGTTGTGAAGCATACTCATCAAGATGATAGGTATCGTATTGATCTTTAAAAGCACACGCTGCTTCTAATAGCTTGGATTTCAAATAACACTCCTCAAAAAAAAATGTCTTTTTCCACTAGCCATTCCTTGATTGCAGATTTATTCCAGGAATTGTTAGGGAATCTCTCTTTATGGGGTTGGTACGATGCATTGTCCATTACAATGACATTCCTGCGACCATTATTTGGTAAATTTGATATTAATGTCTCCTTAAACCACGACTCAAAACTATGCGGCATCCATTTCATCGTGATAGTCGCCATCATTGTTCTTTGCCAGAAAAACACGCTGTGTGCCAGGAAGGAAACCTCCTGAAAAACCTGCATGCAATAAAACATATTGTGGACCTCGTTTAGTAGGTGCTTTTAAGCCAGTACTTAAACCTTTGAGAAAAGCATCATGACTGTTTTGTATCATAGTATCGCACCATTCGTAATTTATAGATTGGCCAACATTAACCCACGATTCGTCCAAATATATGATATTGCAATGGTCTTTTCGCAAACGTCGTATAGTTCTCAAATAATTATGGCGCCAATGAATAATATCTTCTCGCTCCACCATGATGCTTTTTCGGCCAAGTTTCTTATAAACAAATCCAATATCTTTCAGAAGTCTGTATAAAGTAGAAAGAGACAACGGCTGTATATTCTCATTACCTTGTATGAAGTTATGTATATATGCTTTAAGAATGGCAGCAAATTTTTCATGAAAAATTCACAATGAACAATTCTTGGTAGAATACTTCTTACACCCTCGTCATATATGAATATTCTAGAATTTGATTGATACACTCATTTTTTACGTTTTTTTTTTGGCGATTTCAACATTCCACTCTGTTCTTTTTCTTTTTTGAAATTGTAAATGCTTCTTTCGCTAACACCAGTCATCAACGAAGTATGTCTTACAGCAGCACTTACATTAAGTTGTTCCATATTGTGTAAAAAACATTGTTGGTATATTTAAAACAAAAGTTATAACAAAGCATGCTGGTGTGGGTTACTATATTGTTAAATATTGGGTTATTTTTTTAACAAAAAAAAACAAAGTGTCAAAGAGAATAACTCCCTAAAAAGTTAATAATAATAAGCATTTTTTTTAACTACAAAGTAGAGTAACACTTCCCAACTAGAAGAAATATGATGTAATATTTTCCAATTAATAAGTCCACTTATGATCTAACACTCTTAGTGGTGGTATTAATTTGTAATCAACAACAATCATGCAAGGATATTAGCAAAATAGTGGTCTTTTATTGCTAATTTGGTCATGATAATTTTAACAAGGAAATCATTACACTACTTACACATTTTGTAAATATGCTACTTTAGAATCAGGTCTATAATTGTGTGTCTGCAAAGAGTAGATAATTTCCTTATCACTTAACATCCTACTGTGCGATTCCTTTGTAGGTTCAATTTTTCTAACAAAAATCTTAGATAACCAGGCATCATTTTTGGTACTAGTTGTTGAAAGTGATCTGTAAAATTAGGAATTTTTTATAACATGCCTACTGTGATTTTCATTTTTACCTAAAATTTGGAGGCACCCTATTAAAAAATTTGAAAATATTGGCCATTTTTTGTGGTTATTAAATTTTTATATTTTTGATGTCATTAAAAGGTTATCTCACTGTTCTTAAAATTATTTTTTGTCGTCATGCCGTCAATCATGTGTTCGTGTTGGACAGTGGTGCTGGTGACGGTGACGGTGAGCATATAAGAGACCTAAAGACAAGGAAAGAGAGCTCTCTTTCTTTGTCTTGTGTAAGGTAAGGTGGAGCGAGTGCTATTAGTATACGTTTACACGGGTGCGTAAATAAATTTAAAGTATTACTGGATAGACAACTTTTAATAACACAATATAAAAAAATAGAGAGTAGAGCGGTAGAGTAGGTGGTACTGTAGACTAGTGCGAAGCTTCATACTATGTTTTCTATACTTTTGAATTTTAAATGTTTTTAAAATTGAATTAATTAATTTTATTATTAAAATGATTACTTCTTGCTGATTTATAAACTTTACGTTGGCGTTGGCGCTGACATTCGCGTTACATCGTGGTCAAATGGGAAACTCGTATGTATATTTATGTTCGCCGTTGGCGTTGGCGTTCGGTTCCGTTCAAGATGAACCAACTTTATGTTTAGAATAGAATAGAAAAAGCTTTATTCTCAGGATTCACATTTCTTCTTTAAGTTCCATCTTCTATCGAAGGTTGGAAATCATCATGGCTATGCGGACTCTGTTGACTGCCGCTCTAAAAAGTTCTGCACTACTGCATTCAAACCATTCCCTTAAGTTCTTAAGCCAGGATATTCTTCGTCTTCCCACATTTCGCTTTCCTCGGATTTTGCCCTGCATAATAAGTTGTAATAATGCATATTTTTGCCCTCTCATCACATGTCCCAAGTACTCAAGTTTTCGTCTTTTAATTGTTAATATTATTTCCGCCTCATTTCCTATCCTTCTAATTACTTCTATGTTTGACATTCTTTGAATCCATGATATTCGTAGGATTCTTCTGTAACACCAAAATTCAAAGGCGGCCAGCTTATTCAGATGAACTTGTTTGAGTGTCCAAGCTTCCAGACCATAAAGAAGAGTAGAGAACACGTAACATCGAAGCATTCTCAGGCGTAGTTCTAACCTTATATCCCGACAACAAAGAAACTTTTTAAGTTTAATAAATGATGTACGTGCTATTTCAATACGTGTCTTAATTTCTTTGGTTTGGTCTACATCTGATGTTATCCATGTTCCTAAATATTTATAGTTATTAACCTTCTCAATTGCGGGACCATCAGGATTCACAAGTTACACACAAATATAAATTGTCAATAGAGAGAATGGTGTCAATTAAAATTTAATATGGTTGCTGTAACAACCTACACTTAACCATAAAGTGTTATTAAAATATATTGATAATAACAGTGCCATTTAGATTCAGGTAAGAGCCCTGGAGTTAAAGCTTGGACACTTAAAAAATCCAACATTAAAAACCTAGAAGCATTCGAAATGTGGTGTTACCGACGCATTTTGAAAATATCATGGATGGATCGCAAAACAAACGAACAAGTTCTCGAACAACTAGGAAAACAATGCGAAGTTTTAAATTCCATAAAGATCAGAAAATTGGAATACTTGGGGCACATCATGAGAGGTGAAAAGTACGAACTACTAAGGAATATAATGCAGGGTAAAATCAAAGGTAGAAGAAGCGTAGGAAGACGTAAAATCTCGTGGCTACGCAATCTCCGTGAGTGGTTTGGATGCAGTTCAATTGAACTATTCAGGCGAGTAACCAATAAAATTATAATTGCCAGAATGATTTCCAATCTCCGATAGGAGTGGAACTTGAAGAAGAAGAAAAAGAGCCCTCAGTCTCCCTGCAGGTCAGCTTGAAGGTATTCTTTCACTTTGTACAGTTCAAGATGTATGATCAATTGTTGAACAGACTGTCTGTATTTATTTGTGTCAGTTTCTATTTTGATGCTGTAAGGCAGTTCATTAAAGAATTTATTACAGGCATATTCTGTGGTTTTCTTAGATGCTCTTAGTCTGTGTATTGGTATATTATAATTTATGAGATTGTTTCATGTATTAGTATTATGGTTTGTTATTTGTTTCAAGAATTTATGTCTATTTTTAAAAATAAAAAGTAAGCATTCATATATGTATGTTCCAGTCATTGTTAGTATGTTTAGCTTTTTGAAATTACCTCTACATGAATTTCTGTATTTTAAGTTAAGTAGAGTTCTGATTGCTCTTTTTTTATATAAAAACCTGTTCAGCGTTACCACTTCCCCCAGAAAACTATTCTAAATCGCATTACAGAATGAAAATTTTAAAAATATACAACTCGTTTACATTTTCGTCCAAATAATTTGCTGTTATTCTGAAAGAGTAGCAGATAGATGCTAACCTGTTACAGATCTCATTTATAGGCACTCCAAAATCTAAATTTTGGTCAATATGTACCCCCAGAAATTTTGTGCTTTGGTTTAGAGTAACCATTTGCGATTGAATTGAGACAGTTTCTGGTAAGGTACTATTATTTGTTTTAGTGAAGAAACAGATATAATTTGTTTTTTATCTGTTCAGTATGAGTTTATTCATATTGAGCCATCTCTGTGCTTCATCAAATCTATTATTAGCGATAATGAATAAATTATTCAAGGATAACCCTATAGTTAAAATGTTAGTATCATCTGCAAATTTCACAATAAGACTGTTCTGATTATTATCTGTTGTCTAAAGCTAAATCATTTACATAAAAAACAAAGAGAAGAGGAGCCATAATACTTCCCTGGGGAATTCCCACCGAAATAAGACCTTCATCAGAGAAGCAATTTCTTCCCTCATACTCAAATTTTACTTTCTGTTTGATAGGTATGATTTTATCCAATTATAACCTGGCCCTCTAATGCCATATCTGTAAAGTTTTTCCCATTAGTATTTTGTGATTTAAAGTATCAAATGCTTTTTATAAATCTAAAAATATGCCCATGGATATATCTTTGTTTTCATAACCCTCATTTATCTTTGTTATAAAATCATAAAATATCAGTCTCTATAGATTTTCCCTTAAGGTACCCATGTTGTGCATGGCATAATAGTCCCTCACTATAGAAAAAACCGAGAAGCCTGACACACATGACTGTTTCAAAAACCTTAGAGAATGATGGTAAGAGGCTTATCGGACGATAGTTTACTAGTAAATGGCATCTTTTTTATACACTGTTTTACTACAGCTATTTTTAAGTTGCCTGGAAATATCCGATTTATCAAGGTATTGTTTATTATATGACATATTGGTATAGCTATCTCATATGCATTATATTTGTAGGTATCCCACCATAACCTGAAGTGAATTTATTTTTCAATTTTCTAATTAATTCAATTACTTCATTTATAGTTACTGTCGTTAGAAAAATGAGATTTTGTTAAACTGTATTTTGGTGCTAAATTATATTTTTGGTATATTTTTATATACCAAATTTACCTGTGTAATTTCTAACGATTTTCCATAGAATTTTTGACTTATTTTGACTATTATATATTTCTTGCCCATACTGCATTTTTCGTGAATCCACAAGAATTTTATTATATTGACGTTTTGTTTGTTTGTACTCATCTTTGTAATGGTCGTCTACTCTACTTAACATTAGCAAAAGGTCTAAGCAACTTGTATATTGATTTATTTCATTTGTATTATAGTATTTGATATGTTTAGTTTTTTTATGTTTATTTATACTTATTTTTTTTTCTGGAAAGCATTGGTCAAATAATAAAGAAATGATTTTCATAAATACAACCCATTGCTTTTCTATATCCCAATTTGGTACTGAAAAAAGCTCCTCCCAGTCTTCTTCTTGCACCATTTGCCTAAAATTTTCTTTACTGTGGGAATCAAAAATTCTTTTCCTAATTTTTATATTTTCTTTTTTGTTTACATTAATACTGAAAGGTATTTTTTGACCAAGATGATCAGAAATATGAGTATCTAATACTTTTGCTACATAAAGTTCACAGTTTGTAAAAATGTTATCAGTGCACGTCTTTGTAGCTCTACATATGCGAGTATATTCATAAACTGATGGCAATATATTAAATGTTTGTAATAAATAAAGAAAGTCTGTTTTATCTTTAGTTTGTCTCCTCAAATCTATATTAAAATCAGCTGCAATAAAAACTAAAGAGCTCTCAATTGAAATATACATTAAAACATTTTCTAGAATATCTAAAAATTCCTGCACACAAGACTTTGGAGTACGAAATATACAAAGAATTAAAATTTTGCAATTTAAAAAACACACTTCTACACATGAACATTCAAAAACATATGTTTTTGCCTTAGTACGTATATCTTTTCTTATCCTCCATGATAAGCTTTCTTTTATATAGATTGCTGTGATCCCATGTTCGCCTTCATCTCTACAGAAAGCAGAAACTAATTTGAAACCCATAAAATTGTGATTTTGTAATTGGGTATTGGATTTCCAATGTTCACTTAAACAAACTGCGATGCACTCTTTATGTTGTAAGATTTCTTCTTGGATTGTATCTATACAATTTCCCGCTTTTGAGCATTTTGATGGATGATACTGCTCTTTATAACTGAGGATCCTCCTATGTTGGTGGCATCCTCTTTTTCATGAAAACCCTCGAGACTACTGACCCATTTGGCCAAGCCTCTCGTTTCCATGCTTCTCTACAATCGCCTTGTCTGATGGTAACTTTCATTGAGGCATAATGTTCTGGGTGGGATGATGAATGCTCATTACACTTTACGCCTGAGAAATTTGGCCCCAAAAAGGCCAGTGACATGAAATTATATAAATTTTGGAACTGCTTGAACCTGGGAAGTATTTTAATTTCGGCCCACCACAAAACGACGGGTTCTACGTTCTACTTGACACTCATTATTTTTATTAGGTTTGCGTACCTGATTCCCTAATTGTTGGATATCTTGCATGTTATTTGTAATCTGTGCCTGTAAAACTGCACTGTTTACTTCTTGCTGAGTGAAAACTTTATTTTGAGGGTTATGTTTATGTACTTTATGGGAAGAGGAAGGTAA